AAAGTGCAATGTGAAAGTTGTGGAAGTATATTTGACAATGATTTTAAGACCAGACATGAGACAGCTTGTCACAATGGAAAACATGTAAGAGTTAAGGAACCAGGAGCTTCCTAAGAATCCGTTTGTTGCTGCGCTTAAAGCTTCTAATAAAAATTTACAAATGGCTTCATCAAATTTGTTGGAAAATGTATGTATTTAAAGTAACAATTAAAATATAATTATTTTTAAACTAATACTTGGAGCTTAAAAAAATATTGGGTTAAATACAAATTGTTATACTGGTTATCTTAGCTTAGTTTTAAAACTGAGAATTTGTTAATTGTTTTATTACATATATTATACATGTATGAAATTTTTTTTTTAAATAGTCAGTCGGCCAAATGGACTTAGTTCCCCCCCTCTCAAAAAATGACTCCGCTATGCCCCTGTGCCTAATACACAAAAAAATATAATAAAACATTAGAATACATCTATTAAGTCTTGATCAGACTAAGAAACATAAGTTGCCATTAAAAAATGTTATGTTACCAAACTGCAGCTAATGACAGAAAATTAGAAACATTTTCGATGACAATGTCTGAAGCAGAATATGTTTCCGGAAAATATTTCTTTAGTCTGAATGGGGCTTTATAAATACAATGTTGTGTGATGTATGTACTCTACTATTTTAAACATTAATATTAATTTGTGTTTTTGTTTGTATAATATAATAAGCAGTTACAACACATGTCCATATTATATTTTATGCTTAAATATCATGAACTAATTTTATTACTGTATACAATTCCAATATAGCAACAAAATAATTATAATTATTATTATAAATGATGATTATAATATACCTGTACATTCGTTGGGTTAATTTTACTTTATCACTCATCATAGTTCCTACACAAACATATCCATCTTTTCCAGCAGTTATCAATACGACACGATGATCAGATCTCACAAACCACAATGACTCAGATACAGCCATTGAATGCCATTCAAGGGAAACCATAGACATATTATCATTTGTGTTACAAACAACCAATTCACCTAAAAATTATGATTAGTATCTTAAATACATTGATATGTAGTAAGTGTAGTTTATACTAAGTTAGATACTTAGTACCTCAGTAATATATTATAACTTTTGCAATCTAGATATTAAAGCATACTGGACACTGGTGTCGTAAGCGATCTAACAAAAAATAATGTAAATACATACAAATTATTAAAGTAAACATAAATAATAATTATTAAGTGTGTTGCATAAACTATTGCAGTGTGTTCCGCTTAATGTGATCCTGGTTTATAGAATCAAAAATGAAAATCCCAAAYCAAAATGTATGTTATTAATTTCAAATTGACCTTTTATAAGAGAATCACTAAGTACCGAATAATTATATCACTTTTATGAAAAATCTTATTGTTTTTATGATATATATTTATACTATTAAAAAATAAACTAATATATAAATTTATACTATTAAGAAATAAACAAAAATCCTAAATATGAATTTTAATTTGATTTCATTTGATGTCAGGCTAATATGAAAATGAAATTAGTAGACTGTAAAATAAAATAAAAA